GCAGTTCATACCCAGACCCCCCTTGTGAGCTACCGCATTTATTTGTTTCCACGGTTCAGCTTATATGCTTCCAAGTGGTTGGCCACATAATTTTAAAAAATCCCCTCCATACATGCTGAAGATGTGTATGCTGTATGACTTTAATGAGATGTTCTTTGGACCGTTATTGGCTCCAAATTGGCTGCCATGCTGCAAAATCATGCCTGCAGCTGCACACGTTTCCCCTGCGAGCAGATGAGCGTTCAGCGCGTCGGTCGGCACAGTGAAGCTCAAAACATCTAAGTGAATGAGCAGAACTCATTTTTGAGTGGGGCTCAAGGTGAGTTCAGGTAATAGAAATAAGAATAACAAGCTGGGGTTTGGGAAAAAAAAAAAAAAACATCCACAATTTCACTGAAAATATTGTGGCTTTACTGCTATTTTACTATTTTGAGTATGGAGCAGTTTGAGAGACGAATACATAATATTAGTAACAATTAATTGGGTATAGCATTCTGATTTGTGATATGCAAGTAAAACTCACATTAACTCGGTATCAAAGCGATCTGCTAATTAAGAGATTCAACCCAAATCACATTTTAGGCCTAAAGACATGAATACTTACCCTTTACTTCTGTCATTAGATCTATCATGTGCATGTTGTGATTTGCCTTCTGCAATCAGAGCTTAATTAGAAATCTTATGGCGTTTTTGATGATTTCAACATGAAAATATAGGCTTCATTTGCATGCTTCGATGTGTTCTGGGAAATGTAATCATACAAAAATCCTAAATTCTCAGGATTTGGGGTATAAAGACACCGAAATCCCAAGCTGCAGTTTATTATCTGATGTAGCAGAAAGACAAACGCATTTAAAAATAAGGACTGTTGAGCAGCCGCAGACCATAACAGTGCTAGATTAAGAAAACAAATGCACAATACATAAGGCTGACTATTCCTGCGAGGTCCAGTCCGGGACTCTCAGCTGTTCACCTCCATCGACCTCCACGCCGATATGATCTGTATTTGCGCATTCTGATATACCTGCTCCAGCCATGTTTTGTGGAGTAAACTCTGATATTGATGTGCTCTCCGCCTCCAGGACTCTTTATTGACTGAACTCTGCTATTTCTGATTCAGAAGCGGGTTATTAGGCTTAGTGTGACTAAGCTCCAAATCTCCTCAATACATTTCTCCAATATTTCGCTCCCACTTAGCAGTCATTAAACTGCTGATTAGACTAAACATTTGACAGAATTAGTATTGCAGGATTGTTGCTTCATCCAAATAAAACCTTCAGGTAAAGAGAAGTTCCAGAGGTTTTTCCCTCAGACAGTGATGCAAACTGTGCTGCAGCTGCTGTACTCCGGACTGATCCAGTGAGATATTAGTAAGTAGCCTGTATTTACTGCTGCTATTTTACAGATAAAGCTTTTATTTCACTTTGACACGTCTTATTTTGTGTCGTCGTTAGGTTTCTTAGGGATCTCTAAGCCAAAGGGCAACAGATAGATTTTGTGAAATCATCTTTATACATTTAACTGCAACTTTAACACTAAATGTGGGCTCTGTCCTG